TTTCTTTGTTAAGAGTTCATGTTCCCTTAATGATTAAAACATCATAACCCTAAATTACTATTACTTTTAACCTTTCTTCATAATAACAAAAATATAATTATTCATTTATTAAAAATATGTAGGATAATTTTATTCGTCAGATTCACTACTACTTTCATTATCGTATGGCCATTACATCGATATTACTCTATTTTTAGTTAGAGGCTTTTATCTCCGTAGAAGCACTGTCCATCTCTAAGAGTATTCTTCACTGACTGTATTTTAAGTCTAATGCTCCGAATAGATTCCAGTCGTACTTGGCCGTACGGGAATTATATTTAAAGTCATTACGTAAGAAGATTGATTATAGATCTAAGCGCGTGTAACATCTATGATTCATAATGAGCGTTTATATGGAGCAATAATAATTCATTGTAGTTATGTAAACAATCATTAGAAAGCGAATATGCGAATTTCGATAGATATTCGATAGATATGCTGATCTGAGCTTTCAATTTGAATGTTTCAACGTGTAAAATTTCCAAAATATATATTTTCATATAATTTGTCAAATTATATCTTTTAATTATTATATGTTATAATACAGCGGTATGTGGACACTTTATCTGAATTTAGAAACATCCGACTACTTGACTAAAAAACGTAACTTTTATTAAACAATGTTTGCTTTAATGTTTGAAATTGACTTTTGCAATGAGTTAGGTTAATTGATAATAATAACTAAGATTGTCAAATAATTATTATATCCCACTTAAAAGTCTCTTAACTTACACAATCATCTTTTCTTTACGAACTCGAATACCATTACCGGATAGTTACAATTTTCGTACTGTTTTTCCAAAGGATAAGACAGGATATGGATTATGGATTCAAGTATTGAACATTCAGCACGGGTACTATGGTATGCGATTTGCACATTATATTTAAATATAAATTATAGAGATCGTTAGTCTTGTATATATTTTATAGACAGATATATAAGAAAATGAAATTGAAAATAATCTGCTTTTTCATAACGCAGTGAAATGAATAAAAAAAAAAAGAAAAGAAAGAAAAAAGAAAAAAAAAATCATAATTTCACTATAGGATTTAATTGGCCCTTGAAAAAAAAAAAAAAAAAAAAAAAAAAAAAAAAAAAAAAACTGAAAAACTGAAGTACAAATATTTTTCTACATCCTAAAACATACCTAATAAAAGATGAAAATTGTTATGTAAGTTTTAGGGGAAATGGACAAAATGAATGCGCGCATAATAAAACCTTAAGCCAGTACTGAAAATATTAAGATATAGTTACTTTTAAAAAATAATGTTAACGCAATTCTGATAGTATTTATTAATATAATGCAAGACTTAAAAATATTGACCTAAAAACACATCGCAGCATTATCCGCTAAATTAAACCGACTATTATACGGTATTAATTTATAATAAAATAATAATTATTAGTTTTGAGCATACAGCATGTTTTAATGCACATCGATAAAGAATAATTTTTCTTAATTTGGATATAAATTCATTTAAAACTTTATCCCTAATTAATCGTCGATAAGTTGCACCGTTTTAAAAGCTTCCCTAATCGCTACAAAGCTCATTCATTATTAAGAAAAGATAATAAAGAAAATTTTAAACGAACGCCGCTGTTGTGTGGCAGCTAGTTAATGCCTTCCGAAAATAAAGTCGAAGATTTACGTAACTTCATTTACGATTCGTGTCGACGATTACTAAAGGACAAAGTTGTCGTGTAACGTTATACATTACTCATGACGCAAACGCGGTGGAAATAAACTAAATATTTTCCGATTTTCATATTTGAGTAGACCTTGACAGCAATTTCATCGAACATCAAATACGTCATTATTCGCATGCTCTTACGGTTATAGGGCAGTCAAGAAATTATCGGTCATACCCATATGGGTCCGTGGTATGCGTCGTGTTGTGAGGCTTCGTTAAAAAAAAAGAAAAAAAAAGAAAAAAAAGAAAGAAAAAAAAAGAAAAAAAATAATAAGAAGAATGATAAGTTCTAAAGACAGCGAGCCTCCAGCTACCTGAACACGTGCCTCTTATTCCTCTCTCTCTCTCTCTCTCTCTCTCTCTCTGCGTTTCACCCCATTCTCCATTCATTTTTTTTTCCGAGGCTGCGGCCGAATGAAAAATCGCCGCTTACGAATCGACCTTTCTAATTGCAACGTTTTCTGCTCCCTCAATCTTTCTTTTTCAAGCTTTCATTACGCGTCGCGAGATCAGCGCTGCGTGCTTGTAAAGAGCCCTTCTATAGAAACTTTTATAATGGATTATTTTAAAGCGTACGCAAGGATTTCGGCAATAATGCCAGAGTGCATGGGGCACGTGGAGAAAGGAACGCTACATTCACTAATTTCTTTGTGAATTGTGTTGAAAAGCTCATTTATCCGAGACACTGAGAGTTTTTTGTATTTTCTTGTTTGTTGACGTCACTGGGAATAGTTTGCAATTTTCATATCTATTGATTTTATTTCCACTTTTTCATTTTCAGTCTAATCTATATATGATTGCCGCATGATTATTGGTATTAAGTTTATTTTCATCGACTTAATATCATCAGGATAAAGTAGAATATGAGAATAGATGTTATGGAATGATACCTTTTGGTTATTCGCCACTTGCAATAAAATGTAAAAATATAATTAATACAAATGAATATTGCAATAATATTTGCAATAATATTATTAATATATTTCATTTTACACTATTGTTTGTTAAAATTTATCGAATTGCGCAGACGCTTTTTATTTTTAATAAAAATTCAATCAAACTTCAATATCTTGAGAAGAATCATTGGAAATGATTTTTACCATATTTCTGATAAATTTTCACCTACTTCGAATTTTAGTTTTCAGCAAAAAATCCTTCACGATATCTCTACATACAGATAAGACTAATTATATGAACATGTGAACTGAATCTTTACATTTTTTTCACATTATTTTCAAAATAAAATTTTTATTTGAGTTTGTTTTTATTATGAGCCTTATAGAGTATTATGGGTAAGTTTACTTTAAAAATTCACTATGTTAAATAATTGTTTTCCAAAAGAAACTATATTATTTTCTAATTTAACATTATTATTAAGAAAATGTTCTTTTTTTTCTTCTTGTTTAAATATTAAATTCGCGATTTCCTCATTTGCCTCATTTCGATTACGATATGTAATTTTCAAAATTGGATTCATACATTTTTCACGCTTACAGAGCCATAAAATATATGTTGTGTACAATGTATGAGTGCGTGTCTGCGAATGAATATGCATATCCATTTGCGTACGAGCGCGCGCGCCCACACACACACACACACACGTATATATACATATATATATATATATATATACATATATTTACATACAGTTAGTTGTAATTATGTCATTTCATTTTTCGATGCATTAAATTAAACAGCTTAAATAGCAAAACTGATTGATTTTCATGTTCCATTATATTTTTCCTTTAATACCTTTTATCTTATTCTGAATATTCGATAAATAAAGAATTTAGTACGTGAAACGAGTTTTAATTGTTCGGCTATCGGAAAATAGAAATTACCGACTTACCGCACGTGTTCCATTTCCGCAAATAAGACCAATAACCCGCACTTCACGTGGATTAATCAGGAGTTAGTTGTAATTCTTTCAAGTACGGATTATTTTTATCATTTCATGCTATATAAAAATTTCATCAGTTCTATCATTATTCTGAGAATACAAATAATGAAACGTTATTTCAATACATTTTATTCGAGCAAAGTACTCGAATGCACTATTTTTTTTTATAAAAAGTAACATTTTTTAAGATTAGGTGGGCCAGCTGGAGGTGGTTGATCGGCTAATATAAGAATTATCGAAGGACTCACTTTTATTTTATGTTTGTATTAAAATACATACGTTACCGTTAATACATATTTATATATTGATTTCTTTATTGCAATATGGACGAATTTTTATTATATTAGAATATTAATTGAAGATAAAAATTTTTAATTTACTCACCTCAATGATGAAGGAGCGATTGTTGTCAATTAAAGCGATACTGCAGGAATAGTAAATTTTGCTTAATAATTATAATAATTTTTTTACCAGGATTATCAAGAAGTAAATATTATAAATGAAAAATTATTAAACCATAACTATTTTACCTAATAGTTGTGCTCTTGCAAAATTGTCTTAAATTTTTTATAAAAATTGGTTACGGACAACGTTTATAATAGTAAATACTATTAAATTAATGTTATCTATAATTAAAAACTTCATACGCGTATAAAATCTCTTTCTTTCCTTTCATTTTTTTTTTTTTTTTTTTTGCTCTCATTGTATTAAATTAAAAAAGTATTTGAAATTCAAAGCCCCCCCCCCCCCGTGAATACCGTACGTTTCATAAGAGCGTAGAAAGATTGGAAATATAATGTAAACTAGCAAATACAAGAAAGCAATGTCATTTAATACAATATTCTCATATCCATCTAAAAATTCATCGACAATCAATAATTAATTGGCTCTTTCACTAACTGGTTCTTTCATTAAATTGTCAATACTGATCGATAAAGGTTAACGTTGTTATTTAGTCAAAAATCTCGTGAACGCGCATTCGACGTGCAATTTAACATCATCACCTACCTGCCATTCAGCTCCATTAAACATAATATCGCATCCCCCGCTATCTCGACACACGTATCTTCCCTTGTTAATTTAAATCCTCGTTAATGGTCCATCTCGCTCGAATATCTCTCTTCTCAAAATTGCATAAAAATCTTCCGCGGTAAACAGTCTTACGACAAACATTATTCCGCCAATTTCCACACTTCTTCACGACTGTTAACGCATCGGTAATCGCCCGTAGACGGAATATCGCCGTTAAATGGTTGTCTCCCGGGCACAATGCCTCGTAAGCACAGCGCACAATGCTGTTCTCACGACTCTCTCCTAATTGGTGTATTGGTGAATTGGGTCCGTTAAAGCCGAATGCCCGTGTTCGCAGAGCCTCCGGCCCGGTGCAGCGGCCTCCGAGTGACGATGGAGGGGGGAAAGCCAAGGGCGGGTAGGTCGGGAGGTGCGAAGGGCCCGGATTTGGCGCTCCGGCGCTCGAGCGCGAGCTGAGGCCCAAGGGCCCGGGCCTCGCCACCGATATGAGCGATCTACAGGCCACACTCGAGTTCTCTCTCGAGCTCTGCAAGTTCTACAACGTCGATCTCTTCCAACGCGGGTAAGCATCATCATCATTATTACTATTACTATTGTTATTGTTATCATTACTAATTTTTGTTGATCGTTATTATTATTATTATTATTATTATTATTATTATTATTATTATTGTTATTATTATTATTATTATCATTAACATTATTATTATTATTATTATTATTATTATTATTATTATGGTTGTCGTCGTCGTCGTTGTTATTTTTTTATTCTTTAATCACGGTTTCGGCTGCTCTTTGCATCTCGCTGGCCATTCGCTGCATGGCGTTTAACTTTTTTAAATATAACGCTCTTGCGTGCCGGTTTTATATGTCGCTTAAACATATTTGAGAACGGTATCTTGAGTTTCAAGGAAGCAACAGTACTCGCGTTTCTCGGTACATTTCCCGGGCCTCAATTTTATGATTCATCCAACGGGCTTGTAAGGATATTGCATATAATAACAATAAATAATAATTATTATATATAATGAATAATGACAACAGCAACAACATCAATAACAACAGCAATAACAACAGTAACAACAACAACACCAACAACCACGACGACGACGACGACGACGACGACGACGGCGACGACGACGACGACGATAACAACAACGATAATAATAATGATAATAATATCGATAAAGTTCGATGAATATATTTTGTAATAACGTTTTTAATTTTCCAAGTAAATTAAAAATGATATTTTCATGTTCGCCTCGAGTTGAAAAAGGGATAAATTTATGAGGTAAAGCAACGTGCAGCACCTATGAGAATCGATAAGAAAGTCTTTCCATGTTTATGCACGATGGATCCTTGCAGCCTTGGGGTAATCAAGTGATAAGGAACTGCGCTGCCAGCGCCAGTTATTTATTTTCCCATCGAAACTCTAAACAGAAATGTCAACTTAATTAAAAGCTTTAAGATCGTACAACTATGCGTTTGTCATCTTTATCAATTATAACTTTTTAAATAATTTACAATTTGCACACTCAATTATTTACAATTTTGCAACACAATAATTATTCGATCAAGAGGAGTATTCGGATTTTATTTTTTTAATGATAGTAACAGTGACAATTCATTGTAGAATTAATGATTATATAAGAGGTTAGTACTGTAAAAATTTCCTATTTTAGTCACTTGAAATAATATGCTATTACTTGTAATAAAGCTATAAGTCTACCATTTTATTTCCTTGAAATTATACATTTTATGTTCTCTATTATTATTGTAACTAATTATGAAAGCTTTGGTACAAAAATAATCTTCCTTTATAATACTTTCTTATTAAAAATTTTAAAGTAAATTTTCATAAAACTTCATAAAATGATAATTTTATTTGCTTTGAATTAATGGCGAATTTCCTTTTTAATTGATGTATTGTTAAATCAGAAAAAATTCTTTATAAATATCCCAACTGATAATATGTATTTAAGGACTTAGGTAACCATATACTCGCTTAGAATATAAATTTGTAATTTAAATTTAAAGCGATTTAATATAATTCAATTAATTTGATTTTCTCTTCAAACTCAGTGGTTACAATCTCAAATAACTCATGACCTTATATTACTTATAATTAAAATGATGGCCAATTCAGCAAATAATTGAAATGCTGCTATAATTGGGATTTAAATGTACACGTTCATTATAATTATAAAATGCATTTAACAAATTATTATGTCGATTGGTTAAATTCCATAACATAAGAAATTTTTTCTCTCCTCAATTGAATTACGTTTAAAAAAAAAATCACTCAAAAACTTGGAAGTATGTAAATCCGATTTATTTCTCTTACAAAATTGCTATCAAATTCATATACACGTTCTTCGGATGTATATATATATATATATATATATATATATATATATATATGTATGTATATATATATACACATATATACATATACGCATATACACATATATACGTATCTCTTATGAATTAATAAAGATCATTTTAAACAAAAGTCACCGACAATTCTCACCGGACGGACAATTCTCAACACTACCGACAAATTCCGTAATGATTTTTCCAATTATCGTCAGCGCGACTTTTACGCTAAAATAGACTATTTCGTACATTCGAAGCTGCTCGCGAAAATAATTCAGAGCCGCGCTCGCAGTTTCGGTTACGTAGTGCCCGGACTCCCATGATTTTCTCAACTTCTCCCTGAACTCCTTCCTACGCTAACTTCCTTCTTCCAATTCTCCCTCCTCGGCCACACCTCCCTCCCCCACCCGTCGTCCCGTACCAGCGCCGTGCTGAAAACTTGATAAGCGCAGGCTCTCTCACGACCCGTGTACGTGCGCGCGCGCACTAATACTTTCAGATGAATCTTCGTTTATCTTAAAGCTTGACCTATCTTAAAGCGTATGTTTTTCTCCAGGTATTACCAAATCAGAACCTCGCTGAGGGTATCGCCGAAATTGCCGATCAAGGTGGAAGTTAACCAGCTGCACAACCGTGAGTACCTTTCCCCATTACCCGCTCATGATACTCAAGAGCGAATTCATACAATGAATTGTCGAATCTAAGTATATGTTATTTATCGTAGGGTCGGTAAAGCTTTGCAATCGCTAAAAATTAATTTAAATCACTCTCGAAGTCTCTTTCCTTCCGACATTAGCATTAATCGATTGAGCGACGAGTTATATGGAACAATAATACGCTAAAATCCTTTCGAACTTCATTATTGGTTGCCCGAATCTTGCTTGCAATCATCATCATCATCTTTTAAATCCAATAATAAATTTATGTTTTTTGGTATTACGTTATTTTTATACACAGTTGTTATGAATGTCTGTAAGCTTTGATATTTTAATGTACATTTGTATGATTTGTTATTGCTCTATGGCAATAGATCGAGTAATTTTGTCATTTTAATGCGTAAAAAGGGTGATAGATCAAAGACTATTGTAATGTAAAATCCCGTCCCGATTTTATTCCTACATTGATTATTTATCAATTTATTTCTATTATTTTATTTAAAATAAGAATGGGAATAGAAACGCTAACCGTATCGAGTGAATTCAAGCCGATAATTTATTAAAGCGAAATATCAATCAAACAAGAGTATTCATTAATTTGATAAAACATCTATTACCATTCGTACAATTATCGTTTAAATATCGTTTAAAATAAACAGAACGCGAATTAGCGTAACGAATGCATGAAATTATTTTGCCAAAGAATGTAGAAAATGAAAAATTTCTTGCATTCGTGCACAATGATTCGTAAAATAATATTAATACAATGACGATATCAATAAAAATAACAATAACAATAACAATAATAATAATAACAATAACAACAACAACAACAACAACAACAATAATAATAATAATAATAATAATAATAATAATAGCAATAATAATAATAATAATAATAATAATAATAATAATAATAATAATAATAATAATAATAATAATAATAATGGTAGTAAAAATTGAAAAAATTGTTGAACAATATAAAATAAAGCTATTATTCCATTGCCATTGTACAACATTTGATTGTACAATTTTTTCAAATGTCTTATAGCAATTTTGCAAACAGTCACTCATTAAATCATGCGTTCGCAAACATTAACACATCATTTTCCTCCCTCGTAATCATCCTCGTTTGATAAAATCATATAAGGCACAAGATAAATTTTTATAGCGATACAGCAAGCTTTTGCAATACGCTCCATCATCCCAGGAATTATCTCCACCCTCCACCCACCAACCCCACCCCACCCTTTCACCCGCACAATGCAAGTTCGCTTGTTTAAGCACGCAGGTGCAATGCACTACGTATCGGTGCATTAAACACACGCGCAACGTCCCAACTGCATACAAAGAAAGATGCTCGACGCGTCGCAGCAGCAACTACGGCGCGAAACGATAAAAAAATCGCATGAATTGGTCGAGTATGAGAGACGAGGGAGAGGCGTAGATAGCTGCTATCACGACGAATTCGCCCATCGCCCATCGCCCACTTTATTATCACGGGAGAGAGTGAGAGTGAGAGAGAGAGAGAGAGAGAGAGAGAGAGAGAGAGAGGAGCAAGAAATACGCCATAACGCTAGGTTATTCTTGTCTCGCGCAGACCTGCTGGAGGCCCCAGGCACGAGCAAGCGCTTCCAGATCCAATACCGCAACGAGGAGGTAACCCTCGGCACCTCCGTCCTCTTCCGGGCGCACGTCCTCGTTCACAGCCACAAGATCGAGGAGGCGCTCGCGCGCACCAACTTCAACCTCGGCGTCGAGCTCTGGTTCGGCGAGCTCACTCAACCCGGCAACATGGTTTGCGTCTCGTCCAGGTACGCCCGCACATTCCTTAATCTCATCCGCCTTATATCACAGCTACGCGAAGATGCCCAATCCGCCGACGGCAGATATCCATCGTCGCGTTCTTCCTTTATATAGGAAATATCGCTTTGCTCGTTTTGCTCACCATCGTCACCGGTGTTCCCATTGACCATGACCAACGCTATTGTATTATTAACGCAGATATTTAGGAGAGGGACGAATTATGCTTTCGACGCCCATAGAGCTTTTCGCCAAATGTCGAGTTTCGTGTTAAACGTTCTCCGGCATTTCGGATGCTCGACGGTTTAAAAAAAAATAAAAAACAACAACAAAATCCTAACACGTCCGCGTTACGTGACTGACGTTGGCATTCGCATTCGAAGGGCAATGGCTTTTAAAACGAAGGCTAAAAAGTAAAGCTAAACCGCTATTATGTAAAAATCACGTGAAATGATTGCGGTAAGGTATGTTGTGTGGCGGGATGGGGGTGGGGGGATACGAGAGAAGCACAAAGTCGGTGCGGAAATTCAAAGAAAGGCGACCGCGAAGAAGTTTATGATAACATAGCGCTAATCGCACGTTTGTCACGTACGTTTGTCATTATCCTTCCAGGGCGCTGCAGCTGAACTTTACGCCGACCAAGGGCCTGCATTACCATCTGCCGGTACTCTTCGATTACTTTCATCTTGCCGCCGTCTCCATGACCATCCACTGCTGCCTCGTCGCTCTTCACCAGCCCAACATCAAGTTCGTATACTACGAAAGCTCCAATGCCTCTCTACCTCTCTGTCTGTCTCTAAGTGCGCGCGCGCGCGCCCGTATACGTATATGTTCATACGTATATGTGCGTGCGTGCGTGCGTACGTGCGTGCGTGCGTGCATGCGTTCGTGCGCACTTAGCTCGTTTGTTTGTCGAAGGTATTTTCTCGGAAGGTTTTAATCGCAATTGCTTTCTTTGTTCTCGGTTGCCACGGAGTTCAGGAAGAGCATTCTCCATTATGTACAGAGCTGGTAAGAACTTTACGCTAACAATCTCCATTATCTTTCCAATTAAATCGTTTATTTATTAACATTGCTCTCGTATGCAAAGTATTGCTATTGGCTTATCGCTCAAAATCGTCCATTCATTTTCCTTTTACCAACACGTGGGATAAAAATTAAATAGACAATGTTATTTTACTCCAAACTCACTAATCACATTCATGATGAATTTTAATGTTACAAAAGCACTGCAATTCTATGTTAATAGCGCACCGAGAGGTGGAAAGCCCTGGGTACAAGTGAAGCAAACATCGCCTATTAACATGGAAAATAATTCGGCTTTTAGAAATATCGTAAGTCATTATACAGAAATTCATTTTTTTTTTTTTTTTTTTTTTTTTTTTTTTTTTTTGAAAGGTAAATAAAAGCGTCGGAGCGTCGTACGTACTCGATAGACCGAGAGAGTAAGATGTAAAGAAAGCACGTACACCGTAACGCCTCCTGCAACATTTACATTCATTCGACTAAGGTCGTCTAAAGTATATTTCACCCTCGAATCACGATTATCACAATCTTTAAAACTCTAGATTATTTGAGCTTTTTAAGAAAAGTTCGACTCGCAACTTGCAAAGTCTATACGCTCGATAAAACCCGAACTATATGTCAGCTCTGCTGTACGTCAGCTAATGCGAGAGCTAATTTTTAACGTTGATTTAAGCGATCGATGGATTCGATCGATTAATTTTACGCGCGAAATAGCCGAACCGACTGCCGACTGAAAAATTAAAAGTGAATCGCTTCCCGTGACTTTCAAATAATACTTAATCCCAAACAAGAGTAGACTCGGTTTATATCGCCTGAAGTAACAATCGCCTTAGATTTTCCACGATTAATCATTAATTCTCGATCTATCTGCTTGATCACGGAATTCGAGAGAAAAGTCGTGGTATCGGCATAATAAATTAATCCCTTGGCCGACAATAGTATCTAAGCATTCCGCATCCGCGAATTATTTTACGTAAAATATGAGTATCGATGATCGGCATCGATGATTCGTTGATGGGAGTAGGCTGGTCCCCTTGAAGAATAACGCGCCCTTACGAGGAACGCATTTTGTCGACATCGATCCTCTCCAGCCCGGTTGGCTGGCCTCCTCTCGAGGAAGCGACGTCGATACCGTGATAATTATCGATTGACTCGCACTGTTTTGCCGGAAGGAGGCGACGACGCGCTGCGTCGGCTCAGCTACTCGAGTGCAACACGCGAAGCTCGATCAGCAGGAGGCGAGCAGGCTCCTCATTGCCGCCCCGCCCGCGAGTCCCTCCTCGGGGATCTCGCCGACATGGCCCGGCTACTTCCCGCCTGGCAACAGCGCGCCCTCGAGGTCGCCCAGACCACCCACAAGGAGATCACCATGGTACGTGACGGAGACCGTCAAACCGTATCTGCTCCCATCCTACCCCCGATCCTCTCGATCGCCCCGCCCATGACCGAATTGTTGCTCAAAGTGACTCGTCCCGTACTTCGACGCCCACCCAAACACCGCCTGTGTAGGCCCGAACTCGCGTTTTATCGCGTCATTTGCAATTTGGCCGTTGCACTCGTGGATTAGAGTCCCGTTAATTTTATTATAAGATTATTTGTCGATTATACTTCATTTTATAAAACATAAGCTTGTAACGAATGGGCCTACTTTTTTGGCGGGCATGCGCGAGGTACTGTTTCTCTTTCTCTTTCTCGAGGGGAAACTGAGTGCGCTGTAAGTGTTGGCTGCCGCGTAAAACGAATGAGAATGTCTTTTCAACGCGATTTCGATTCTTACAACTTTTTTGTTTTGAACTTTGTAAATTAATGAACTTTTTTGTTTTTCATAAATACCGTATTTATCCGCTATTTTCGTTATTTAAACATTCGTAATAGTACGAGATAATATCTGGACTATTTGGATAGGGGGGAGGGTGATTTTGTCGTCGTCGTCGTCGTTGTTGTTGTTGTTGTTTATGTTTTGTTTTACCTTTATGTCTTCGCGCGAAATTACAGCGTATTATTAAAATTTAGAATTAAATTAAAAAATGCGTAAAGCCGTTTGCTTGTAAATTATCAATTATTATTAATCAATTAAAGCAATCGAGTTTATATTATGCAAGATTTAATTAGTTATGTAAATTTTTAGCGATTATATTTAATATAATTGATCATTATTTGATATTCTTTTATATCCCTTTTATCATGGGATAGCATAGGATGGTGTTGTAGAGGTTGCGACTCGCAGAGATTTCTTAAACGCGTCTCAAGATTAGTCTTTGCTTTATTAAATTTTTCCATTTACAGATGATGGACACGGAGGAGGTGGACGTTGCTCAGCTGTGCGCGCAAAATATTGTTTTGTGGGAACATTTTTTAGAGGCATTCTCGGGACGGGAGGCGGTTCATCAACATCTCGCGCGAGTTCATCATCAGTTAAGGGTGAGTTTACAACTCGTCACGAGCTCGTCATTTCCGCTTTAACAACTTTTTACGCGTTAAGCAAGTAGAGCATGCAAATTGATGAATTGATTGATGGCCAAAGTCAAGCGGTCGAGCGGTCGGTAGAAAATATTTATTGATTCTAGCCATAATTGTAAGATAGTTTGTATTAAGGGGAGTTTGAGATTTGCGTTAATCGGGCGTATTAAAACCGATCAGTCCTCGTGCATATTTAGCATGTAAATTCATTAAGACAATGTGCTAGATTTCTAGGCTAGTTTGAGCTTTTTTAAGCTTTAGGAAGCAATTTTTGTTGTTGTAAGAGATCGTTTGATGGATTTCGTTCATTACACATTGGAGTCGTTGAGTCGCGTTGAAGCAAGAAAGTTCAACTAATCGCGTTAATTAAACGTATTTTTAATGCAAATACGAATCCCCTTAAGATAAGACTCAAAATCAGATTACTAATTGTTACAATTTAATCGATTAGAAAGAAAAGAAAAAATTTGCACAATTTTTTCTAAAAGTTTAGCAATACAATCCAGTAGTATTTGCACTGTAAAACGTGATTTATTTGCTTTCAAGTTCAATAGTTCGTAATAGCCGGACTGATTGAAAATTAAACTTGGAATAGTTTTTGTGATGAAATTATTAAGTAGATTAAGCACTAAATTAAGTAATGGGCTAAACTATTTGGTAATAATTCCATAGTGGAAATAGTAACATTTTCTCATGATTAATATAAAGTAGAGACAATTCTCTGTGAGTAAATGTATTTGTCGAAAGAATAAAATGCTTGAACGAATGTTTTTGGCATGTAAGTAATCAGCGATTAACAAAAAATTCTGATGAATCTAATTGTTGCGGAAAATTTTTTCGTTTCTTTTTCTTTAAATTTCATTTTTCATTTTTTCATGACATTATTAATATAGTCTTTGATTGTCGTGGAAGCTTTTAATGTCTTTACCTTTCTTACAATTGCATGGCCTTATTAATGTAAAAGTCGAAAAGTAAGTTGGAGCGCTAATTATCGATTCGTTTCCCATCAATTCTCCACTAATTACAAAGAATCTTAATTATTTCTTGAATTCGTCATTTAATCCGACAAATCGAACAAATATGAATTTAAACAATAATATTATACCTTAATATTCTTTCGGCAATTTGTAAAATTAACATTTTTTTCATACGTCCGTCGACGCGAACTTTATCCGTCAACATTCAAACACTCGGCGCTCTGCTTAAGAGAACTTTATACCCTCATTATAATATATTAACGGTCTTTATTACACTAATCTACAAAATATTTTTTAACAATAATCATTTGAACATTCGCAATTTATAAATAATTTCTAATGATTCATCCTCTATGAACAGCGCTGATTATCGTATGCTCACGGGCAAAAGATGCGACGATCGTCGAATTTCCGCGACACAATCACTTTTCACGAAATTTAACATTCCAAGTCGGAAAGTTTAAGCAGCGCTCGCCTCGTAAATTCAAGCTCTTATCTTATCACGCACTTACATTCAACGCTCTTACACTACGTAAATAAAATGATTACTTTATTCGCTTTTACGCGTTGAATTTATATTGCTTTTAACAACCGAAGTGTGCTTAAAATTACCGTCGACGTACCTGTCGCTTATAAATTTCCGCCTATATCATCTTTATCTCAATGGTCCCACGAGATAAATGGTCTTGCCCAGCGATTTCGTAATTGGCTTTTAACTACTCCCGTAATGCCGAAATCCTCAAACCACCACCACCACCACCACCACCACCTCCTCCTCCTCCTCCTCCTCCTTCTCCACCATGCGAAGAATTGACGACGAAATTCGTAACATTTTCAAGTCAGCAAATAATCCTGCCCAATAAATATTATCCCACCACGCAAACCTCTCCAATTCAATTTACGCGTATCCTACAATTGCCATTTCTACATTCCGTTCGTATAACATTACATTTTCTCGAGCTTTGCACCCCTCGTCGTTCACGAGAATGAGGAGAAGAAGGCGGTGGACCATGGACCAGGAGGGGAGGGAATAGGCGGCCCATTAGACTCTGTAAACATCATCGGCGCAAAACAACACCCCCACCCCCCCCCCCCCCCCCCCCCCCCCCCCCCCCCCCACACACTCTCTCTCTCTCTCTCTCTCTCTCTCTCTCTCTCTTCTATCTTAATTCGCAGGTGCGCCGCTTTGCCGAGGGCTTCTTCGTGCTGGAGAATCCCAGGAGTTCGGCCGCGGGCTGCTACGACGCCAACTACCAATCGTACCACGCGGTGAGCGAGGCCGCCCGACGATCCCGCTACCTCGGCAGCCTACCTTGCCTCCCGGTCTATTGCCCGGAGCTCGACGGCGACCTCCACAGTCTGCCCCTCATCTTCGAGGACCGCTACGCGGACATGCAGCAGCGTCATCGTAACAGCGGTATGAGAAGAAGCCACCCCCGTCCCCATCCATCACCAACCATTAGCATTAGCACAAGCATTAGCACTAGCACTAGCACTAGCACTAGCACTAGCACTAGTACTAACACTAGCACTAGCACTAGCACTATCCCTTATAATCTCGCGCCTTTCGCTGCACAATAATCGAGCTTGTTTCCTCGGGGATGGGAGCGGGACTCGTTCCGGGCTCATCGGGGATACGTAATCCTCCGCTCGCTCGGACAGCCTCGCATTAGCGCCTCTCCGGCGACAAATAAGCCTCTACCCCCGTCAATTAAGCGGCATCCGTGGGGCCGCGCGGTACGAGTCCCCTCATCCTCGGGGAATTAGACTCGCGTGACATTGGCATTTGGTCGAAGTGCGTCAACTAATGGAGACTCCGCGTGAGCGCGCGCTGGCCATTGTCATGGTAGCGCTAGTCGCGTAACGATGGCGCGTGACGTCGCGCGATCGGGGAGCTTAGGAGTAGCCGTGGGTGCCGGCGCCCCCGGGTTAAGCGCCCCTGTGTTACATTGACCGGCTGTGTGACTACGAGCAGTGCCGAGCGCGGAGGACTGCAGCTGCGGCATTAACGCGATCCTGGAGTCGCGGGTGTCGCAGGAGGCGGGCGGCTGTCGGCTGCTGCTCGGCGTGGCCTCGAGCCTCCCGGCGCGGCATAGCAAGTCCTTGGAGCAGCTGGGCCCGGAGCCCGGGCCGACGAGGCTGCTGGAGCCGACGCCGCCGTCGCGGTCACTACCGAGGAGCGCATCGACCCAGCTCCTGGGCAGCGGGCAGCGGAGAATCGCGACGGCGCCAGCTACGGTGCCAACCAGGACCAAGCCACGTCCCCTCGCGCCCACGTGCGCCAGCCTGTTCCCGCCCTGGCCCGGACAACAGGCCTGCTCCGCGCCCAACCCTTCACTAGGTGAACTCCAATAACCACTTTAAGCTCCTTCCAGCAGCCGATTGCGTTAGCGCCGCGGGGCCGTTAATCTCGCGCGCTCCGTCGCCCCATCGCCGCTTCCCTCTTGACCGATGACGAGGACCGTGGGGGCGGCTGGAGGTGGGAATAGGTCGCATGTACCGAAGGTAATACACGGCCTATGGCCGCGCTATCTCGAATCTTTCAACGTCCAACGCTTACTTTACGCCCAACGTCTACGCTTAAAATCGCACCCACATTAGACGCGTAGAGTCGCTGCGTCGAATGGCGGAGGGCGGCGGACTCCCCCACCCCCGGGGCCTAATTTACCATAACTTAGTGCATCGCTAATTTTCTTCTAAATAACGGCCGATTAGCCTCTGGACGCAACTGGATATTAAAGTAGCCGAAGTTTACCGCATCACATCGCTCACTCGCGATGTACGCAAAGGAGAATTTTGCGCAAACTGATTGTTCGTTGCGGCACGCGGACCGTGTTCACGATCGATCCTCGATCGTTTACCCCTCGGCAATTGACAATTCTTTCAAGGTCAAATTTTATTTGCGCCCGACTACTTCCCATGCAAACTCGTCGATTATCCTCGAGCGCTATCCGATTGGCTAGCCGGCGATTGGTGCTGCTCGACGACTCGCGCGACCGGTAGCTCCGTCAGGATAACGCGCCAACCGGCCTTTCTCCATTATCGATTGCCGTCGTCGCTTTCGTCGAAGAGCCCGAGGAGCCGTGAAGCCTTGGACCGCGCGTTACCTGAACATTGGGAAAGGTGGTTGAGGAGCGTAGTTAGCTAAGAGTCCGAATGCCGACAGGCTCGACCCCCGTAGCGACGCTGCCGCGCGCAAAGTCGACGCAGACCCTCCTGCCGAGCCCCCAGGTGCCCTCGAGCTCGATAACGTCCCTCCTCGCGGCCATGTTCCCGGAACTGCCGCGGGAGCTGCCAGGTTACCGACCGGCCAGCGGTAACGCCCTCGACCTCAAGGGCCTCGCGGACTGCCTCGGCTTCGACGCCCGAAGCGCGAGCTTCTTCGCCGAGGGTAAGTCCAGCCAACGCTCTCTTCCCTCGCTCCTCACCTACCGCCTCGACTCTCCTCTTCGTATCTGTCACGCAGCAGACGCAGGCAGCGTGGCCCTGAGGCTCGAGCCCCGGAGCCACCGACTGCCGCCGCGACAGCAGCTCGAGAGGCCCCGTATCAACGGCGAGACCCTCTGCACGACGGCGACCCTCGACAGGATCAGTTACCGAGGACGAGCGGCCAAGCGTCAGCTGCACTCCGGAGTCGGCAATAGGTGAGCGATCACGATTCTATATTTTATAACATTTTTATCAAATTTTCATTGGAAAAAAACAAACTAATGACGCGTTCCTTATCGCACGAGGTCGCCCCTATCATCGCTCCCATACCGTCCCGCACCGTCGACTCTAAGATCTCTATTTACAATTATAATGATCGAGAGGCCGACCCGCGTTTTGGCCATTGACCACTTCAACTCCATATACACGTATACATGCAAATTCCCGGACTGGGCCTCGTGAGCCTACCTCGTCCCCTACCTCGCGAGATCTTCCGTCGCTACGAGTCCTACTCGCCACGATGAAAGTGCTTCGCTCGCCCCTGCCACTTTCTCCTCCTCCGTAAATGCATGCTCTTTGATACGATCAAAAAATAAAGCAAAAACAAAAAAATCAAAAGAAGATGGAGGCGAAGCTCGTAAATTGCTCGAATGTAAATTGGACACGTAAAGAGACACACACAAAGACACAAAGAAAGTTAACCCAGTCGGTCAGCTGGCTGATTCGAATCCATGGTGGAATCGGCGAGAGGTGACCGAGTAAATTCTCCCAAAATATCAATAGCACCGAACCGTCCTGATTTAGACTCGGCGGTAACGGGACGCTCGAGCAGCCGCGCAAGTACAATACCCTCGGGAGATCGAGCGGCTCGCGGATACAATCCCGAACGAGAGACCAGAGGCCGATCATCAACGGCTCGGGACACCCGACCAACGGCAAGCATCTGCCGTTCGAGAGCCAAACCCTGCCGAGGCGACCCAGCAGCACCGACCGTATCTTCAACGACGTAAGTACAAACACAAGCGCACAAGGCCCTAGGATCTATGCCGCGGACCCCGAAGATATCTTAGTTAAGCTAGGTGCGACGTCGGCTACGATCGTCACTTCCGACACGATTTAACTACGCGCATTGCATTATGTGTCGCGAGCAATTAACGCGAACCCCGAGTTAAATAATCGACGTAGTCAACTCTACGTCTTTATGGTCGGTTATTATTTTCTTCTCTCTCTCTCTCTCTCTCTCTCAGAAAAAATCAAAATTTCTCCCTCTGCTAAGAGCATGACTTGTCGTTAGTGTCCAAGTAGCGGAGGCCGGGCATATTCATTGTTCTTGTTGCATAGTCTCGTGTTCGGAAAAAAAATGCCGAGTTGCCGAATATCGAGGAGTGCAGCGCGGCAGAAACCCGTTACTTAACCCGTTACCGCGAGCCTCGATCGCGTAATAATGGACGCGCGAGAGTGAGAGAGATCCAACCTGGGCCGCAGGATTTCCGAGAGACCGAGCCTTGGGAGATGAGGTGGGAGCGGAGGGAGAGCTCGAGGCGATCGATTTCCGAGGGCTCGAAGAAGTCACCCTCACCCTCGACGGCTCGCCGAAGACGCCCCGAGCCCACCTACGAGACGATTGCCAATGGCGAGACCTTGATTAAGGAAGTACCCCAGCCTCGAAGGCAGGGACGTCCAGGCTCGGGGAGGCCCACAACCACGCCCAGCATCAAGATCGAGCGGTGCGCCGAGGGTCGGCTCGAGAACGGGAAGATCGACGTGCCCATGGAAAATCCAGGTTCGTGACCATCCTTACAACCCTATGATGCGCTAATAGACGTAAGCAGGCGCTTTAAGGATAAGAGGGTTTTTTGGCTTTTGAAATTTGGCGTGGCCGGGGGAGGGGAGGGGCGAGAGCCCGCTTGAGAATCCCATTTATATCAATCTTAATATGCGCGTTCGTCACTTGGAAATGTGGTAGCCGGTAAGAATCAAGATTCATGGGTGAGGTGTATGGTTTGACTAGAAAATTCCTCCCTTAACGTATTAATAACAATTGCCATTAGTTGCAATTTATTCGCACAAATTGTTTGCTCAGAGTTTGATCGAGTACTTTAATTCGTAGACTCTTTTTTTCTTGCCTTTGGCAGAGTTGATTTTGGCTTACGTATGTTATGAAAGTACGACAAAGCAATTTTCAAAGCTATAATGGTAATTGCAAGAGCTTATTGCTAGTCAGAGCTTTTTGTTTTTTTTTTTTGTTTTATTTATTTTTATTATTTTTTTTTTTTTTTCATAAAGTATATCGAACGATTTTATTTTATGCTTCTTTTATTTATGTAAACGAAAGGAAAAGAAAGAAAAAAGAGGCGTTTATTGATTAGAACCATTATTGGGAAGACTTACCAGAGTCGTAAATTTTGTATTATATAAATTTTAATGTTAAACTGCCATTATACTGACAAGTAGGTATGTTGAACTGTAATTTAAGGTTTCGATTGATCATATTTTCTTTTGCAAGTAACGCCTATGCGCAGAATCCTTAAAAAATAAACAGTATCGAGGCAGTTGTTTTTTCTTTCCTCGCAAGGAACTTTGAAGACTTAATTTAAATCAAATATAATGTAACAAGTTTAAAATTAGAAAGATTACAAGGGCGATATTTCAAAGTAATAATTTAAGTTCGTTATGGATGTGAAAGCCGGGAAACGTGTAAAAATTCGTGGAAAATAATATTAGCAATATATCAGTATAAGCAAGTATGTGGGTGGGAGTGTGAGCAGGTAAGATATATGACCAATCTGGATTTTTTCGCATCGCAGTTAGTTATCGTGCCAACTTGAATCCAATGTTTTTCCATTTTTCAAGTACGTAAATATCGAAGTTTATCGATAATCGAAAATTTGACAATGTTTGCAATATATTACGTTGAAAATTATCTTTAACTTGTTTGTGCTAAACCTCCTAATATATGGTATTCTGCTTACGTCTGTTAGAAAATATTCTATACTACTAGAGGAAGGAAAAAGTCTGATTTTAGCCATCCGTACTCGATTTAAATATAAATTCTCCTGTAAAATAAATTTATTATAATAATAATTATTATTTAACATAATTGTTATTTGTGGTTTAGAAATTTTACGTTTTAACTACTCGGTAGAAATTTCATATTTATACACCCGACGGTTGGCCAGTATTTGTAGAAATTTATTTTCAGCTTAATTGTTTATTAAAAAATTTTATTAAAAACGATGTAAAAACGATTGATGAATAGCATTTACAGGTGATAAAAAGTTAACTATGAAATCACGAACTTTCGATAATTGACCCTCAAAATAATGTCACGCATACTCGTGGATAAAGCACTTCTATTCTGTCTAAAGTAATTGTTTAGAACTACGGAAGCATGTAATTGCAGTGCAAGCTAAAATTAATAAATGTTATACAAATTTGTGGGATTACCAGGGAAACTAGGTCATCCACCACCACCGGCGGCATACCAGGATCCGACGAATTCACCGATGAAGCAACGACATAACCCGAGTGTCCTGGAAGTGGAGACCAACAGCAGGATGATACTAAAAGTCGAGCCTCTCAAATCGCCCAGCGAATCCCTTAGTCCTGGAATTCTCTCGCCAGTTTCCATAGTTTCCATTAATTCGTTCAATGGTAATTTCCCCCTCTTCATTTTCCGCTACGGAATCCTCTCTGTTTACTTTTTCTCTCTATTTTTCCTCTTTCGTCGTTCTTTCATTCTTTCTTCCAACCTGTCTGAATGTAAAAAGTTTATGGCAATGCGACGCTTTAAAATTGAAATGCAGCATATAACGTAAATGGAATTCTGATGTTTATAAAATTGGAATTTCTACGCGTGATAGTGCTAGACTAGCAGTGCCTGGGACACGCAGAGCTTATAAAGTTTTTATTTCTGTATTAATAAAAATATTTTTAAATTATTATGTGCCATAAAAGCATGAAATACGTATTCATTTATTCAAATAATTATATAATGGCGTGTACCTTACTTAAACGAGTCTGTTTTAACGGTTAAAAATACCTAGTACTTGACTAGTCTCGACATTTATAAATTCGAAAGATAACAGACGACGCCGTAATAACCAAAAAGTTTATATTTTTTTGTCCTATTTGTTAACAAGAATAAAGTATCGCGATACTTATCGTTTTGTTTGCAGAGTTGCTTGAGATTGATGATAAATGAATAAATAAATGAAATTACTATTTGATTCGCACAACTTCAATGACAGACGCATAACTTTGGTGAACTATTGACTTTAACCAAATATAAGTTTCACAGTTATATTACTAACAGAACTAGGTGAAGGCCCTTATTTAGAAAAATCATGCAACTGTTCGCTTCTTCGTATTTAACGAAAGAATTGTTAAATCCCATTATGTCGGAAATTTTAATTAGATAGTTAAGCAAGCAAATTTTTGTATTAATTAAAAGCCAACTTCGCGATTTTGAGATTTAATAATATCTATTAATATTCCAATTTCCTCTTCTTTACAGCGTACGATTGTCAAATTTTAAATTAAATTTAAAAATATATCGGCATAAGCTTGCCTTACGTATGATTATTTTAAAAAATTAATTGCAAAATTTTTGCAGCTTTAGACTGTACGATGCATTAAAATTGATAAAGGCTATCTCTATATAAAGAGCTTTTTGAATTGCATTTTAAAGATTTGCATTTCAGCTTTACTCCCTGACTACCAATAATTGAAAATGTTAAACTTTTATAAGCCCAACAGTGTATATCTCACTTTCAACAATCAAACTTTCAATTCATATTATATTACGATCGTAATACGATCTATTCAAGCGTACATTTTTAAAAACAATTATTCAATAAAGTAAGAAAAGCTGAAAATGTGAGATTTCATTTTTACTTAAATATAACATGCCGTTATATGCTTGACGGTCTCTGCTTAAATAGAAAGCATTACTTTCGCGACACGAATATCTCTCTGAAAATCTAATTCGCCGGCAATCCGAGTCTTTGATGTTTTTAAATTTTTTGCTTTAATATCCAAGAGGATTTACCGTTAAAAATAGGCATAAAGCATGGGTACGCGTAGAAGGCAAAAAACACGTCTAACGAGAATAATGCACATAATGTCCAATGAATTTGTCAGCGAAGTGTCCCGTAACGAAACGCAACTCGGCAATATTAAAGAAAATCTTCCGCCGTCATCCCCAATACGCGCATCCACACTCTCTCTCTCTCTCTCTCTCTCTCTCTCTCTCTCTCTCTCTCTCTCTCTCTCTCTCTATGTGTGTGTGTATCACTGAATACCGCAGCGTCCTTTCGTCTAAAAGACAGCGAGGCTCGCTTTTTATTCTAACGAATGGGAATTAACCGCTTAATCAACAGTGGAGACGGAGGGAGCGTCGACGCCAAGCGGTAAACGTCTGCGCTGCGCTAGCGTCCCGGTCGCCCAGAACAAACTCATCGTTCCTCGAAGTGCCGTCTCGATGCCCTGTATGCCGATCCGCGACACAATCCCCGCAGCCCCCGAACCAGGCAAACCCCCGGCAACGCCTTCGACCTCCAGGCCCTCCAGCCCCACCACCAGTAGCACGAGCTCCAGCAATCTCACGTCCGAGTGCAGCGGCTGGGTCAGCAGCGGCGACACCTCGAGCTCGGAGCAAAGGCGTGTAAAGCTGTCGAGCGAGCAACTTCGACAAAAACTCGCGAGGATCGTGCCCAGGAAAGACAAGACGGTAAGCCAACCGAAATAGACCGCCCAAGTGCCACTGCCCTGCCCCATGGCATTAACGGCTACAGAATAGCTGGCAAGGACATTTTATGAGCTTTTATAAAGGAGCTCTATCGGTGAATACAGCCCAGACGTCCTTATCATTCTTCCACCGGCTTTCGAAATAATCTCGATATTCACTTTAGCTATTTGCGCGTGCTAGCTTGATTCAGCCATTATGCTTAATTCAATGAAATCGATCGATGTTGTAGTCGACCGAAGCCAGTGAGACGTGACGGCGGTCAAGCAAAAATGACGCTATTAACGGTAATTGCTCGAACTGACTATTCGAACGTTAACAAGCGACAATTGCATTTTCAATGCAATGTCACTCTTATTGCCAACCAATCGACTCTGCTCAGTTTCGTACATTTAGTAAATGAATTTAGTAAATGTACTTTGTACATAAATAGCTAATAACTGAGCTTTGAATTTCCTTAATTAACATAAGCTCGCTAATGTATGGATTTCCCAGTGTCCAATGGACGCGCGTACTTGCCTGCTTATCGTATAGCCCCGATCAATCCGAGGCAAAGTGGTCGGCGGTCCGAATAAAAAATATAATTATAATTAAGATGGGAGTTGGACTGAGAAGGACTGAACGGCTTTTTTCGATCCCACGGACGCAGGAGAAGAGCAAAGCTCGCGACAAGGATGAGCGATGCCAGCAGCCGGATACGAAGAGGCGCGACGGTCCCTCGGAACACATGTACGAGGAGGTGCGTTTACCGCCACCGAAGATGTTCCAGGACGAGCCGCCGCCGCCCGAGGAGTTCCGGGACCCGCCGGCGGCCGCTACCACCATCGACAATCCCCTCTACCACGTATACGAGTCCGTGATGCAGCAGCAGCAGCAGCAGCAGCAGCAGCAGCAGCAGCAGCAGCAGCAGCAGCAGCAGCAGCAGCAGCAGCAGCAGCAGCAGCAGCAGCAGCAGCAGCAGCAGCAGCAGCAGCAGCAGCAGCAGCAGCAGCAGCAGCAGCAGCAGCAGCAGCAGCAGCAGCAGCAGCAGCAGCAGCAGCAGCAGCAGCAGCAGCAGCAGCAGCAGCAGCAGCAGCAGCAGCAGCAGCAGCAGCAGCAGCAGCAGCAGCAGCAGCAGCAGCAGCAGCAGCAGCAGCAGCAGCAGCAGCAGCAGCAGCAGCAGCAGCAGCAGCAGCAGCAGCAGCAGCAGCAGCAGCAGCAGCAGCAGCAGCAGCAGCAGCAGCAGCAGCAGCAGCAGCAGCAGCAGCAGCAGCAGCAGCAGCAGCAGCAGCAGCAGCAGCAGCAGCAGCAGCAGCAGCAGCAGCAGCAGCAGCAGCAGCAGCAGCAGCAGCAGCAGCAGCAGCAGCAGCAGCAGCAGCAGCAGCAGCAGCAGCAGCAGCAGCAGCAGCAGCAGCAGCAGCAGCAGCAACAACAGCAACAGCAACAGCAACAGCAACAGCAACAGCAACAGCAACAGCAACAGCAACACCAACAGCAACCGCCACACCAACATCAACATCAACATCAACAACAACACCAACAACAACAACAGCAACAGCAGCAGCAGCAGCAGCACCAGCAGCAACCACATCAGTACCATCAGCAACGAGCCGACAGATCCTCCAGCCCCAAGCAGACCAAGACGGCGCCCTGCAGTCCCCAGCATACGAAACTCCAGGCGACGACCGACGTCCCGATCTACGGTGCCCGACACGATCTCTGCGCCGACTGCTATCAGGAGGGCAAGGAGCTACTCCAGTCCACACAGGACGACTCTATCAACTTCAAGAAGTCCAAGGAGGAGTTCAAGAGGCAGATGTGCTTCGCCGGCAAGCTATACAGGTGCTCCGGATGCTCCCTCGATCGTTCCTTCGACATTCTTCGTAACTCGATCCCCGGCCGAGTGAAAGCCCGAGTCCTAATTAGACGCTTCCAACCCTCCCGGAAATGAGTACGATGGCCTAATGAGATTTCGGAAACGCCGGGCGCTCCTCTTATTCCAACTATCCTCTACTCTAATTCGGCATTGGAATTATTAGTAAAGCCATAATCGTGAACCGGAGGGCAAATTGCATTCGTTCGCCTTGAGGAGAGACAAACGAGGACTCGCTCGCTCTACGTTATTCCTTAGACATATCTTACTTACGGAATATCTCGCTCTTTTCCATCCCTCCAAGTAACTAATCTCACATTACTAGTACTTTTCAATGAATTTATCGCGCAATTGTTACAGCCTTACCAAATACTTGATTCGTTGCCATTAATTGCGCTTTGATAATGTCGATATAGCAAAATTCTCAAAAATCGTGTCTTCCCGTGACACGAAGGCAGCGTTACTTTCGTCACCTCTCTTTTTTTCCTGTCTTTTTTTTTTTTTTTTTCTTTTATTAAAGCATTTGCTTATTCATGTATCATGATCAACACGATCGCTTTATCGAGTCGTCGTCGCGCGTTGATTTATCAGATGAAAAATTACGATATCCGTGCCGCTAGAAGAAGCGCCAACATTAATTCGAGAATCTACGGTCCTTTATAACAAACAGCTTTATTGAATAAAATTCTAAATATTTCAAATATAATAGCTAGGCTATTTGGAACTTTTATCATTCGTTTGCTTGTATCTCTTTTTATAACTGTTTTTTTTTCTGCTTCTTTTGCTTTTTTTTTTTTTTTTTTTTTTTTTTTTTTTTTTGAGTAACTTAATCTCTCAATTCAAAGCGGCAAAAGTATATGAAAATATCCAGGCGAAATTGTTTATCCGCGAGGCCAATGATGAGCGTTCATTTTTCAGCGATTATCCGAGCTTGGCGTCGTCGCTTCCGTACTTCCATATCAGCGACGAGTACAGGCAATTTTCTCCGGAAGGCGTTCACCTTATCATTTGTGTGCACGGCCTCGACGGCAACGCGGCCGACCTTCGCCTCGTCAAAACCTATCTCGAGCTCGGATTGCCGGGGATGCACCTGGATTTCTTAATGTCTGAAAAGAATAAGGTAATTTCTTAGAAGAATTAGGTTAATGCTCGCAAGTTCGATCGTGTGATTTTTGCTTGTAATATGAAACTGCTTGATTCCATGAAATATAATGTACCAACGAAAATTTAACGATGTCGCGTGAAACGAAATCTTATTAAAATCTAGTGGTGGAACAAATTTCACAGAGTTTGGCGGTCATTGGGATGGAGCTGAAAGGGATAAAAATTTGCCGTTTAACTTTCTTAGGCTAAATGACGCGATGAATTATAAATGTTTAAAGATTTTATTCGTAATGGTAATTTCGTTAGTGGTACCAAAATGTCGTCACAATTTTCTAAAATTCATATTTAACGTGGTTTATAAGTTGTATATTTGTTGCATTAATGTCGAATGATATTGACATGTGAAATACAACGATTATATTTAAAATAAGAAATACACTTATAGCTTCTGGTAAATTTACTATATCATTGAAATGAAATTCGCCAGCTGATATTTAATATTTAAAGAGAATTTTATTATTTGAATGCTACGAATGTGCGTTTATAGATTTTTTCATACATTCCTTCATATTTATTATATCGTTTGTATTTGTTTGTTCGTTTCTTTGTTTGTTTTTTTTTTTTTTTTTTTTTTTTTTTTTTTTTTTTAATCGTATAACATTAGCTAGTTTTACATTTTATAGCCATAATATGTAAAACTACTTTATCACACTCAAAAACAAAAAATCGAATTGATATAGAAGCAAATGCTCGCACATTATTATACTAAAATATTTTCATAATTATTTGATTAAATTGAATTAATAGTGTCTTTTATATGCAATCATTAATAATGTCAATAAGCCAGTAAGAAAGAAAACATTAGGAATTTCATTTCTTAAAAAATAATGATAAAGAATATTATTTACTTATATAAATATTATAATAATATTACAAAATAAGTACTTTTACAAATTGTCCGTTCATATTATAATATTGAAATACTTGTATAAAATACTTTTTAAGTTAATTCTTTCCGCCTCCATAATTCCTCGTGAAAAGCTCGGAATTTTATGAAATTTTCCAATACTCAATTTAATAAATTTCACTGATATCTAGATCAGTATTTTTTTTCTTTTTCTCTAAGAAGATTAGCTTCAAATGCAATACAAATATGTTTAACATAAATACTTATATTGGCATTCGATTTACAGTATTAAAATTTTTTTCTTTATTTGGATGAATTTTTTTTTTTTTTTTTTTTTGCCTTAACACACCCCAATAATATCAGCAGAAGTCCTATCGATATTAACTTTGAAAGATCTGCTGAGTTTTTTTCTCTCTTTTTTTTTTTTTTTTTTGTAAATCTCATACTCGACTCAAAAAAGTATCGTTCTACGCGAAATATCCAATTACAAATTGCTTTTTATAATATTACTTAAGCGCTTCATAAAGTTCGTTGGTATATAAGCGCATTTTTTTAAAAAAATTTTATTTAAAATCTATTATGGAGTGTTTTGCAAAAACAAAGCAAAAATTTTTTCATATAATGGTATCGAGTAAGCCTTCTAAAAATATCATTATGTAGTATCATTAATTTTACAGAGCATTCATTATTCTCTCACCTCTCTCAATTATTCCTATTTTTTAATTGTATATTTTTCTGGTAGAATTATTATTATATTTTATTTTACTTTCATATATATATAATATAATATAATCGTTACATTCTTACTTTTCGTGATTTGCATTTTGTACGGATAAAAAATTGCAACGGATTTAAGATTCATTGGTTAATAGTGTAGATCGAAGCAGATAAATTTGCTTTCTAAAATCCATACGAGGATTGACAAATTATACGGATATTACAATAGATATATGAGATAAAGTATCGAAAATTCTGTAATAATTTGTATGAATTTTGGAAAAATAATGAGGAATTATATCGAACGTATCTAGATTATCTATTAGAAATTGTGATGCTGATCGGCTAGTTACGTTCAACGATAAGGTAATTCAATCACACCGTTAATATAGTGAATGTATTAAAAAAAAAGGTATTAAAATGATAAAATAAAACATTATATATGTGTGTGCGCGCGCGCGCGCGCGTGTGTGTGTGTGTTTGTGTGCGCGCGCGCGCGTGTGTGTGAAAGTAAAATAAAATAAAATACTTCAAAATAAATATAACTGAGAAACTATACGATAGTTTTATGGATACACGATAAAAAAATGAAACAATTTATTTACTTTTTACAGGCATCATTGAAATTAAATTTTATAATTATTGATGTGAGTATATTAAAATTTTTCATAATGTTATCTAGTTGTCGATAAATTTCACTTCATTCGATATAAAATTATTTTGCTCTAATTATATTATAGTTCTCTTAGTTACTTGAATTATTGGGATAATGTTATTTGTTATTATGAACGACATTGGCCTTACTCAACGTAATTATTATTTTGTAACTATTTTACATATTATTAAAAATGTATCTTTTTTCGAAGCAGCTTTTAATAGAAAACAGTCGATGACATATTTTAAGAATCATTTACATTTTTCACGAATAAAACGCTTACGATTACGCTTCGGAAAAATCAATGCAGAAAAATGTACACTGCACGTGAATTATAGCGATAAACAAAAAAAGATCGAGCAAAAAATATCTTTATTATGTGTGGCCGAAGCTTTAAAATATTGTAATGCGAAGAAAACGCGAACGCACAATTGTTATGGCAAGCATTATAACTTTCTCTACTCGTTCGTAGATGATACATTTTACTAAATTCTCTATGCATATAATTTAATGTATATTTAATGTATGAGCCGGTGCTACATTCCATGCCACAGTGTCCAAGAAAATTCTTCAACATACATAAACATATATGGCTACGTCACGTTATACGTCACGACAAAAATCGGGAATATTTATTATTGCTATATAATTGTCAAAGAGAGTATGGGCGAAGCATCAAAGACTTTCTTTTTTTTTCTTTGATAAAGCCGTTCAAACGGAGACAAGGTAATCGTGAAAAATCAATTCCACCTCTTTTCATTTTTTACGATCCTACATGTTTATTCGAAAAAGCCTCGTATCGTGAGAATTCCACGCACGAGCAACGATTCGCCACACCCGAAAAGTGCAGGATCACGTCCAGTCGAGCTACAAACGAAAAATGCCAAATTCTCGACTAAATCCCTAATATTCGCAAGCGATTGGGCGATTCGCTGATTCAGCCAATTATAATATCTCCGCTCACGGGCTCCTGCTTCCTTTCAGGGCGATACGTTCTCGGACTTCGACACGATGACGGACCGACTGGTCGGTGAGATCCTCTGCCACATCGAAAAGTCACGGCTGAACCCGAGCAAGGTCAGCTTCGTCGGCCACTCCCTCGGCACGATCATCATCCGGAGCGCGCTCACAAGGCCGAAGCTCCGTCCCCTGCTGCCAAGGCTCCACACCTTCCTCAGCCTCAGCGGACCTCACCTTGGCACCCTCTACAATACCAGCGGCCTCGTCAACGCCGGTGCGTTCTCCTAATTGTAATTCATGAGTTAGCCGGGAGTTCCACCTCACCCCCATACCACCCCCGCCCAATACCTTCGACGTATATCCGTGGAGTGCTCTTCTTCCCCGCTCCCCTCACGAATTGCCAAACTATATCGATCGCTATGATAGAGACGAGAGTGTAAGAAGCTGCACAAATACACATGTGTATATAAATATATAAGGACTAGAGAGAGAGAGAGAGAGAGAGAGAGGGGGGGGGGTGACGAGAAGGATGACTGTGATAAGAAAATGGGAAACTAAATCCCGAGCTATAGGGATAGAAAATTTCATGCGGACGAGAATTTTAAACGGTACATTTGAAGGAGCCGTCGTTAATGAAGGGAGTACGCGATGAAACTTTTTTTTTTTTTTTTTTTTTTTTTTTTAAAAAAAAAATTTTGAAACATAAACAACTTGTGAAATTATAAGAACTAATAATAACGATAATTAAAATAAGAATTGCAAATCCACGGCAAATGATTCAATATTCGGAACAATGCTACAGATTTTTCGTCCGCGATAGGAAATGAAGAGCTTGAACGCACGAATTCTCAAATGGGCGAGGGCCAAGAGAATACAAATCACAGCATCACTAAAAGTTTTATAACCCATCGATGATGTTGGCAGGTATGTGGTTCATGCAGAAGCTTAAGAAATCCGGTTCGCTGCTCCAACTGGCGATGAAGGATGCGACGGACGTGCGTCGCTCGTTCATGTTCCGGCTTAGCCAGAGGAGCAACCTTCAGAAGTTCAAGCACATCCTGTTATGCGGCAGTGCTCAGGATCGCTATGTACCACTGCACTCGGCCCGCATCGAGCTTTGCAAAGCTGCCGTTCGCGATCCTACCGATCAAGGTAAGCGTCTCCGTCACTCCCCAGTATTCTTTATCGAGTGGATTTTCATCGAGTGACGGACTCAACTTGTGCAGCCAATTGTT